GAGGCGCGGGGCGGGGTTGGCGGCGGTGCCCCCCTCCTCTCCCCCGGGCCGGGGCCCGTCCGTCCCGCGGGAGGGGGGCCGGGACCGGCGTTCCGGAGGGAACGCAGCCGGCTCGAGAAGCGGCCGGTCCCTCCTCGAGAGGGTTAGCGGTAGCGCCGAGCCCGGGGGGACGGGATCGACCCCTCCTCGGGCTGGGGAGAGGAGGGGCTCGTCTTCCACAGCCGGGGCGCGGGGAAGCCCTCTCCCCCGCCTCCTTCCCGGGTGACGGTGGCTGGAGCATCGGAGCAGGGAGCTGCCGGGAGGAAGCGAGTGCGGTTACTCACCTGGACTCTCCCCCCTCGCTCATCGCAGTAGTACGTTTACCTCGGCTTTGTCCGCCGACTGCTGGAGGATCGGGTGTCCTCTCTTTGATGCGCGAAGCCAGAAGCGATGCGCAGCTGATCTTTGAGTCTGGGCGCGTTACGTACCACCTAAATGCGAAAGCGTCTGGGGTGGAAGCTGTTGAGCTGCACGGCAAATTAAACTGCTCTTGTGTGGTGGAACAGAACAGATTCCCCAGGTGAAGCAAGAAAAACTTGAGGTGGGGCTGTCGTAACTGGTTGGGAGTTTGTGGTACTAATGCTCACCCCTTCCTCCTTTTTGTAGGGAGAGAAACAGTAAGACAGAAGGAGGGGGAGGGAACATAGTAAATCAAAACTTTCGGCTGCTGTCCCAGCACTAGGTTGGAAACTTGTTTCTACTGTACTGTAGTCATCGGTACCACTGCCTGCAGCATCTTGATTCTTTCCAAAGGTTTTCACTTCCAAACAGCGCACAATGGACATCAGTGTTTGTCTGTGACTGGGGACAAACTGATGTGAGGTAAATGATGGCGTGGTATGCATACAAAAAAACGTTTTCCTAAATGGCCCAGCTTATAATTACTTCTAGCTCTAATATATGAGAGTAAGTTTCTACTCGTTTTCACGATGGTCATACTCTGTCTCCTGTATTTGCCCATTATCCTGTGCCACGGCTTGTGTGCAGAGTTGAATACAAGTTGCTAATGACGATAATATTTGCCCATCCCTTCCTGTTGGGGTAAACAAATCACATAAAAGATGTAACTTGCACCTTTCCTCTAGAAGCAGGCCAGGACCTGGCACTTGTCTCACACCTGGAAGTCGTGAGAATCCACAGGTCCTGCCGCAGGAATTGGTGGGGCCGCAGAGCTCTTGGTCCAGGCGATGCCGATGGTCACGGGTGGGTTGTGTGAGCAGCAGAATGAGCGAAATCTGACACTCAGCAAACTCGCAGTGTCTCTCTCAGTGTCTCCGTCAGTTGCCCTGTCACACAGACCCTGTGTGCTGCAGTAACCGTAGCTGTCTGCCCTCCTCCCCAGCGACACAGGCGGGTGTGCTGTGCTTCGTCTGGAGCGTATGTGGAGTGACTGCTGCCAAAGGGAAAGTGTAATGACTAAGTTGTACGTGCCCTTCCCACAGGCAGGAGCTTGGATCTGTCCTCTCAACTGCTGGTGCACTTGTGGGAGTTTCATTATCTTTAAGACTCTTCCCTCTTTCAATCTGAAACCACTTCAGAAGCTTGTGGGAATGAAGAGAGGAGAAACACGCCAAGTGGACAGCGCATGCGCTCACATAATTTCTTTTTCTCTTGGAAATAACTTACCCATGAACTGAACCAACTTGATAATCGGTGATACTGTGTTGCTAAAAACAGCACACGTGGAGTCTGTAAGGGGAATATGTAGAGAGAGTTGTTTTTCAATCAGAACTGGGTTTGAAGCCTGTGGTCTGACAAGTTGCTTCCCAAAGCAGGAAGAATAAGGCAGCAAATTAAGTTTATATTTTTGCACGGGCACTGCTTTGTGTTGTATCCCTCAGCTGAATCCTGCTGCTCACTCACAACAGTGTACAGAAGCCACTGGAGACTTCCATGGATCTGGTTTCTCAGATTGTCAAAAACCCACCAAAAATACCAGGGCATATTGTTGATTCACGTGTGCTCTGACAGACTTACTGAAATATGTGTGAAGTCACTGACTGCTAATGCAGCTTCTAGAAGTTCTGTTCTCCAAATCCCTTACTCTGTTTCCTACAAGTGCCCTCTAAGTGCTGCCACGAGATTACTGCAGTGGCAGATAACTCCATCCATCTTCCCTTCCAGTGTGTATCACGTTCCTGGGAAGGTTCTACCAGAGTCTAAAGGACAACGATGTTGACTTCACACCTGCCAGTATTGAAAAGGAGCTCTTGAAATCCTGCAAAGAAGCAAAAGGCAAGGAGAACCGCCTGGTAAGTAATAGTAGTCAATGATACTTGCCTCTTGAGGGAGTAAGTTGTAGAATACTTGGCAAATGAGGGGAAACTAGTGCTTCTGAGTTTGTATGATATGGCTTCCCAGGGGCTGTTCTTCCTAGCTCTGTGGCCACAATTGGTCCTGTATTTTTTATAAAAGAGGACTTGAGGAGTTTGACCTCTTCACCTTAAAAAAACCAAAACAGTCTGTCAACAGACATCTTACTGGCTGACCTTGTTTCTCCCCGTTACTGAAGTGCTGGGGATTACAAAGCTTTTATTTGCTGTAGGACTTCCTTGTCCCTTAAACTGTATTTGGGGTGCTATGTAAGTTGCTTAAATATTTACGCTCTTTGGCTGTTTAGCTGAAAACTAAATAAAGGAAAACCAAATTGCCCTAACTAAAACCAGAAGGCAATCTGCAAATGAAGAGCCCCAAGGAAAAGGCCCTGCACTCTCCTCAGAAGAGAACTACAGAGAGACACCATCAGAAATACAGAGGGGAAACACTTCAGAAAGTCTTTCTCTTTGAATGAAGACGACTTTATTCTTAATGCAATTCAATTTTTATAAAAGTTGAGAAACAAGACAACCAGCCTCAACAGCTTTAAAAGCAGTGTGATGGGAAACATCTGCTCAGTACCCTTGGGTTCAGAGTTAGGCTTCCTTTTGCCTGTCTGTAGCGGTCACTTGGAAAGGTTCTGCAACAGTAAACATCTAGCTGCAAAACCAAGTGAGGAGAGAAGATGGATAGAAAACTCTCCTTTTTAGAAACATTTTTCCATGCATCCCCACCTCGTTCTTTTCTTCCCTCTAGTGCTATTATGTTGGGGCCACAAGTGATGCAGCCACCAAAATCATTAACGAGGTATCAAAGCCCATGAGTCATCACATCCCTGTGGAAAAGATCTGTGAGAAACTAAAGAAGAAAGACAGTCAGATCTGTGAACTAAAATACGGTGAGTTGCCAGCATAAGGGGAAATGCCCGTGCTTTTCTGGGGTATGGATCATTTGGGGTAAAACAGCATGCTAAATCTACTCAGTCCTAAGTTCTGTAGCAGGATCACTAGCCTAATTAGGTTGCACAACCTGGGTTGCTCTCCATGAACATCCTAGACGCTTTTATGGAGATGCTCGGGTAAGATTGTTGGCTACTAGCCCTTTTTAGCTTCTGCAGAGCCACTGATCTGCCTTGAAAGAGGTTGCTCCCAGGTGTATCAGCACTACTATGCTCAAATCACTATTTGGGATATTGTGTTTAGGAGGGTGTGCAGTAAGGCTTGTCCTGGGGAACAGCTGGGTGTGTCCTACAGCCTGGGTTTGAGCCCTTAGCTGAGGTCTGTAGTCCCAGCTGCTCTCATGTTTGCCAGTAGTGGGTTGATAAACACTTCTTTCTCCCCTCCTCTGGTGTCTGCTCGGAGCGTTCAGCACTCTCTTTCTTACCACCTTGCTCAAACTCTCGCGTTACTAGATGACGTACTCTTCCTGAAAAGACTAATATGAAGAACAGTCCGGGAATACCTCCTTCCGACTGCTTTCCTATATCTCTGCCCTTACACTCCCCAGAGACACCCCTTGGATTGTGGGTCTTTATACTTCTCATTTCTCGTACCAATGTCCTCTTGCTTCCTAAAAAGCTTTCTGTTGTGTTCACTTGCTTATCTTTCCTCTGAAATCACTCTGCTACCTTTTATTTATCCAGTGGAAGAGAGAAACACAGTATTGCTGCTCCTACCATCAAGGGGCCTTCAGGGCTATCGTGGGACTCCTGCATCTAAGCCGCAACCAAACTTTCTGGCTTGTAATAGTGCCTGTTAGTGTTAAAAAACCTTATCTCCTGTCAGAAGCCTAACTTCGATGTGCCTTCCGCCCCCCCGGGAGCCCGGCACCTCTCTCCCTCTTGCATTTTGGCTTCCTCGCCTCCCGTACCGCCGGCCTCCTCCTCCTCCTCCGCACCGTCTCCGCACACAAACGGCACCGGCCTCCTCCTCCGCGGTGCCGGCCGCGGCGGGCCGCCCATCACCCCGGGGCGGAGGTGGGGGGGGACGGGGGGACGGCGGCCGGTCCCGTCCCCCCCCCACCCCTCCGCTGAGCTGGGCTCTGCTCTCCCCGCAGCCCAGCAGATCGACCTGAGCACCGCCGACCTGCGCAAGCTGCGGGTGAAGGAGCTGCGGCGGATCCTCGACGACTGGGGCGAGGCGTGCAAGGGCTGCGCCGAGAAGTCCGACTTCATCCGCAGGATCCACGAACTGATGCCCAAGTACGCGCCGCGGGCCGCCGGTGCCCGCGCGGACCTCTGAGGGGGTCCGGTCCGATCCGGTCCGGTC